TGTCGTGTGTAGTGTAGTGTATAGTGTAGTGTATAGTGGTGTAGTGTATAGTATTGTAGAGTGTAGTGGATAGTGTAGTATACTCCTTCAGCCCACCGGTGTGTTGGAGAGTAAATCCACAACGTTTACAATATGAACAGTGCGACGTTTCGCTGGTCATCACGTCCAACATCATCGGGGCGATTTTGCCAGAATAGTGAAGCCATCCACCTGCTCCCATCTCATCGCAAACTATACGAGGGCGCTGGGCTTGTTAACTCCCTCGCCTGGTATGCGGGAGGTCGTGGGTTCGATCTCGAACCCTGACCGATGCCTGTCGTATATTTGGCGTCTGCGTGTATCTCTCTCTCTCTCCCCGTGGTGGTCGCGTGGATTTTTCTCCAGGTCCTCCAGTTCTTTTCCCTCCACATTTAGAATCGACGTGCTATCATTTGAGGTCATCTGTAAAATTTGCTTGGTCGCTCGGTGGGCCTTACCTGGTAGTTTCCACATTTCGCATGACACTTAGAAGTCCAAATTATTGTTATTTTCAACGTTGCGACCACGCTTCATAATGTGCATTGCTAGGCACACGCGGGGGAGTCGTGCCCCCCCCCCCACCCCGAGCCTGCACGCTTTCTCCCGTAGCGCTTTTTGTTTTGACTCATCGTTGTAAGCCGTCGGGAAAAGCGCTAATTGGGGTCCCCATAGTGTCTACGGTTGTACGCTGTCACCACATGGCCTCCCCAAAGGGATTGGGCAACGGTGAACCTTGGTGATTTTACTGTATTGGTGAGACACGTGGCGGGGGCTGCATACGCGCGCGTGTGTGGAGTGTGCAACACGGACAAGGTTGATACACTTAGTAATCATTAATTTCAACTTGTAACACTGCCTCGCTGCCACGCAGTGTCGGCTCGCGCTCTCGCTCTCTCCTCGAGACGAGGACGACGATGGAGAGCATTGTTACGTGAGCGAGCGAGAGAGAGAGAGTGGTGGGGGGGGGGGGGCACGACTCGGAGGTGCGAGGATGAACCACGGACGAGCGGGGAGGCAGCAGCAGCCAGGCAATGAGCCGCAGAGGTCGCAAACGGGTTTTGATTCCTTACCCGTACCTGGCCGCACCAGGGTCGCAAACGGGTACCCGTACCCGGCTGTGTACGGGTAGCCGGGTATCGGGTAGGGTGTACGGATATCGGGTACCCGGTTGCGACCTCTAATGAGCTGGCGCCAAATTTCCTGCCCCCCCCTCTTCCACTGCCACCCCAAGTTCTGCCGTCCTCTATACATTAAGGTGTTATCAGCCAATTAATGAGCGCTTGTGCATGGCAGGAAACCCGCGGGTACAGATGGAATAGATGGAATAGATGGGACAGATGGAATAGATGGGACAGATGGGACAGATGGGACAGATGGGACAGATGGAATAGATGGGACAGATGGGACAGATGGAATAGATGGGACAGATGGGACAGATGGAATAGATGGAATAGATGGAATAGATGGGACAGATGGAATAGATGGAATAGATGGAATAGATGGGACGGATGCGACGGATGGGACAGATGGGACAGATGGGACAGATGGGACAGATGGAATAGATGGAATGGATGGGACAGATGGGACAGATGGAATAGATGGAATAGATGGGACAGATGGAATAGATGGAATAGATGGGACGGATGGGACAGATGGGACAGATGGAATAGATGGGACAGATGGAATAGATGGGACAGATGGAATAGATGGGACAGATGGGACAGATGGAACAGATGGGACAGATGGGACAGACGGAATAGATGGGACAGATGGGACAGATGGGACAGATGGGACAGATGGGACAGATGGAATAGATGGAATAGATGGAATAGATGGAATAGATGGGACAGATGGGACAGATGGGACAGATGGAATAGATGGAATAGATGGGACAGATGGGACAGATGGGACAGATGGAATAGATGGAATAGATGGGACAGATGGGACAGATGGGACAGATGGAACAGATGGAACAGATGGAATAGATGGGACAGATGGAATAGATGGGACAGATGGGACAGATGGGACAGATGGGACAGATGGAACAGATGGGACAGATGGGACAGATGGAATAGATGGAATAGATGGGACAGATGGGACAGATGGGACAGATGGAACAGATGGAATAGATGGAATAGATGGGACAGATGGAATAGATGGAATAGATGGAATAGATGGGACAGATGGAATAGATGGGACAGATGGAATAGATGGAATAGATGGAATAGATGGGACAGATGGGACAGATGGAATAGATGGGACAGATGGAATAGATGGAATAGATGGAATAGATGGGACAGATGGAATAGATGGAATAGATGGAATAGATGGGACAGATGGGACAGATGGAATAGATGGGACAGATGGGACAGATGGAATAGATGGGACAGATGGGACAGATGGGACAGATGGAATAGATGGGACAGATGGGACAGATGGAATAGATGGGACAGATGGGACAGATGGGACAGATGGAATAGATGGGACAGATGGAATAGATGGGACAGATGGGACAGATGGAATAGATGGGACAGATGGGACAGATGGAATAGATGGGACAGATGGGACAGATGGGACAGATGGAATAGATGGGACAGATGGGACAGATGGAATAGATGGGACGGATGGGACAGATGGAATAGATGGGACGGATGGGACGGATGGGACAGATGGGACAGATGGAATAGATGGAATAGATGGGACAGATGGGACAGATGGAATAGATGGAATAGATGGGACAGATGGGACAGATGGAATAGATGGGACGGATGGGACAGATGGGACAGATGGAATAGATGGAATAGATGGGACAGATGGGACAGATGGAATAGATGGGACAGATGGAATAGATGGGACAGATGGGACAGATGGGACAGATGGGACAGATGGAACGGATGGGACGGATGGAACAGATGGAACAGATGGGACAGATGGGACGGATGGGACGGATGGGACAGATGGGACAGATGGGACGGATGGGACGGATGGAACAGATGGGACGGATGGGACGGATGGGACGGATGGAACAGATGGAACAGATGGGACGGATGGGACGGATGGAACAGATGGGACAGATGGAACAGATGGAACAGATGGGACGGATGGGACGGATGGAACAGATGGGACAGATGGAACAGATGGGACAGATGGGACGGATGGGACGGATCGAACAGATGGGACGGATGGGACAAATGGGACAGATGGGACGGATGGGACGGATGGAACAGATGGGACGGATGGGACAGATGGGACGGATGGGACGGATGGAACAGATGGGACAAATGGGACAGGTGGGAGTCCAAATGTTTTGCGGCGTCGCCCTCTCCTGGCGAGCCGGGGTACGGCACCTCCTGGACGCCGAGACGGGAACGGAGTTTTCGCGGTTTACCTGCGCGGTGATCCACCGGGACCCAGAGGTCGCAACCGGGTACCCGATACCCGTTCCCTACCCGTACCCTACCCTACCCGAAATGAGTGACAAACGGTGACTCACCGGTGACTCACGGCCTACCCCAGGGGTCGGCAACCAAAATAACAAGAAGAGCCATTTCTTTCCAATTCGGTACAAAATTCAGTATTTCAAGAGCCGCAATGCATCTGAGTACATACTGTACATATCGTCAAGAAGCAGCCTGTAAAGAGCCGCATGCGGCTCCGGAGCCGTAGGTTGCCGACCCCTGGCCTACCCGTATCCGGCCGCACCAGGGTCGGGTAGGGTACGGGTATCAGGTACCTGGTTGCGACTTCTGATACAAACCCAAGGACCCGACTTCGATTCCTGCCCATGGCCACCAACACCAGGGACGATTATCGGAACCGGTCCTGGGCCTCCCCCAGCTTGACCGTCTCAAACGAGTGCCTGGTGTGGGGTGTAACCATCGCCACCGGGGAGACAAAGGTGGCCTGGTGGGCTTGGTGCTGGGCCACCCACCCCCTCGTGTGCCGTGGCCGGCCGTCATAGGTGCTGCTCGCTTAACAGCACTTGCCCCAAAAGTCTTGTAAGGGCTATACGGGGGACCTTTGTCTTCAATCTAGATTTGAAGTCGATTGACCTTTGTCTTGTGACACTCGTTGCATAATTGCAGACTGTACGAGTTATGGATTTACATTGTTTGTACACGTATCGTTACATGTTTGCTGTGTGTGTGTGTGTCAATTTGACACCCTTGCAAATGAGGTTTTTTCTCAAGCGGTTTTCCAGGTGAAAATATTTTAATAAAAAAAAGTGTTTAGGGTCACACACACACACGTGTCGTTATTGACGAATGCGTCGAGTCTTGTTGTTATTTGTGCTTGTGCATCACCACTGCCAATTCAGCAGCAGCATCAACAATAAATCAGGGCTGAGATGGGGGTGGCGGGGGGCACCAAGATATCCCACAATCCGCTTTGACCACCCCGCGTCTGTAGGTGCGCTGTGGTTGTTGGCAGGTTAAATTTCGATTTAAAGCTTTCGTGACTGCAGGGATTCATCTTCTTGGTTCTTTCGGTAAAGTCACGTAGAAGGGAAGTAATAAAATAAGCGCTGTCTCCCCGACAGACCTGTTCTTCACCTGAGGACGGCTGCTTGCGTTGTGGCCGAAACGTCGTGAGAATTATTGTATTATGTTTTATTTTTATTATTTTATTACTTCCCTTCTACGTGACTTTACCGAAAGAACCAAGAAGATGAATCCCTGCAGTCACGAAAGCTTTACATCTAAATTTTATTACGTTTTATTTTCATTATTTTATCATTTCCCTTCTACGTGACTTTGCCGAAAGAACCAAGAAGATGTTGGCAGGTTGCTGCGGCGGCGGCGGCGACAACGCGGCTACGATCCTACCGGTCGCGTTGTGGCGGTGCGATCGTCGCCGCCGCGTTTGCCGTCCCCCGGTTTGTGAATGACCGTCGTTGTCGTGGCGACGCGGCTGCACCATGGTTGCCGTTCTAACGTGGCCGCGGTGTCGTTGCTGTCTCCCGGTGCATTTCGTCGACACAG